CCCCCCCGTCACTCGGCTTTCTGTGTCTGCATTTCCCCTGGGTGCAGGAGCTTTGAACACTCAACGGTGCCCGCATGACCACTTTCCTGATTCTTCCTTGGAAGGCTGTGTCCAGGGGAGGGGAACGAAGGGAAGCTGAGAGGGGGTGAATGGAAAAGGGACACCAGAAGCTCTGTGAATGGTTTGCTCTTCTGGTCGAGTTTCAAAAGGAGTCTCTTTCTCTCCCGACTCACCTTGCCCTGCCCCCCACCTCATGATATCCACAAAAGCTGGGACCCACAGGGCAGAAGCAGAGGAGTCTTGACTGGTCTGCCATGCCCCCGCTCCCCAAGGGGCCAGGTCCTCGACAGTGATGTGGTCTAGGCCTTAGCCTGTCAAAGCAGATGCTGGCCATAAAAAGGCCAATCAGGGCCTAGCCATGTGTCCATTGATACAGGCTCTGTCCCCAAATTACCATTAAACTAGCCTAAGCCAAAGGAGTCCCTTAATTGTCTGCTTACCCACGGGCCCCATTTGCCACACTTGCCTTATCTCTCCATTCACACCAATGCTTGAGAAAATTCAGGAAGGTTTTCCCAAAGGTGAATATTCAAGGCATAGAACATGCGCTCCTCCCAAAGACTGGGCTCTGTGCTCTGTCCTAGACGTATGGGCTCCAGATGGGAGAGCTTTCCCAGTGTCCAGACTCCAGTAGGGAATGAAAAAGACAGCCCCAGCAGGCTGGCCCCATTGGAAGGAACCAGCCAGGGCTCCCTGGGCTGGTGGAGCCAGAAAAGGAGGTGTTGGTTTGCTACACCCTAGCCTGGAACCACCAGCTGCTGCACGCTCCAGTGGCAGACCTGTTTTGTGTGGCCCAGACTTCGAAAAAATACATTAGCTGTTACCGTGTCCTCTTTGGGAGAGTCTGTTTAAAATGTCCAGCTTCCCTTGAAAACGTGGACAGCCTGGCCACACTGGGCCCATATTCCCAAGGGCGGCTATTGGCCAGAGCTGAGATAACAGCCACCTCCCTTATCCAGGGCACGTGCATTCTGGCTCGCTAGGGTTTCCACTTGGTGGAGATTTTTCTGCTTTTCCATTCCCAGTACCCCCAGGCCCTTGAAGGCACTCCAGTTTGGGAACCCTCTTCTAACTCTTAGAAGTGATACTGTAGGAGGTGGTAACAACCTACTAATTGGTCCTCAGACCCATGGTCCACCTGTCCTGGGTGCACCCCCCTTCGTACAAACAGATCAAGGATGAAAACTTGCTTTTGTGTCAGCTTTGTGGTCGGGGGGTGGGGGGACAGATCAAAGAGAAAAACTGCCTGGAAACCTTTCTTGTGATGTTAAGTATTATGATTAACATTAGGTCCTGTTTACTGAGGACCCTCTAAATGCCTGTGACGGGTGCAGTAGATGCGGTATTCCTACTTCTTACAGCATCTCTGTGAAGAGAGGACGGTTATGCCTTCTTTATGGATGAGGAGGGGCGCTCAGGGAGGTGCCGTGACTTGGTAGGATTTGGCAGAATTCGTGTCCCAGTAGCCAATGCTGGGTGGGTAGCTCTGTGTTCCTTGGGCTCCGGGCGGGTGGTGGAGGGGCAGTCCTGTTTAGCATCGCCCAAGACACAGACACACACACACATGTACGCACAGCTCAGTCCCCGTAGCTCTGGCTAGAGGGAGGAGAGGACCTGAGGCCTCCAAACGTTCCAGGGGCTTGGGGGCTTCCCTGGCCCTCAGCCTCCAGGCACCCCCAGGATTCCCAGACAGACACTGTGATTGGCAGGAGGCAGGATATCCCCAGGGAAACCCATCTTCACGCCTGGGTGACCCCTGCTGCCACCTGCTTCTTAACTCCGCAGGAAATCAGGGTTGGCAGCCTTCTGTGGGAGGACGGTGCCGGTTTCCATGGCAACTGTAGCTGCC